AAGTCGAGCTTCAGCTTGACTCCATGACGGCAATTCACCTCCTCTCGCCTGACTCTCCGACCAGTCACCAGCACGCTAGCCTTGTTCTAGCTTTTCGTGACCTGCAAGCGAGAGACTGGGAGGTAAAGGTGCATCACATTTACAGAGAGGCAAATTTCCTGACTGATTGCTTAGCTCACAAGGGTCACCTGTTAGACCCGGACTCTACTTGTACTTCGTTCACCGATCCTAACATTGATCGCGGATTTGTGGTCCGTTCGATTTCTTAATCCGAGGTAGTGGTGCTTGCACCCTTTAAACAAAAAATAAAAATAGATGACGATCATACACTGAGCTTCTAAGTAGTTTTTTTTAATACCTTGAGTGGGATGATAATTTGGACATCACTCGTTTGATTTTACTTGTGAGTAGCATGGTTTTAATGTGGGACTTATTTTTGCCATATCTTGCATCATTCTTACCGTCATATATTAATTCTCTAATACATCATCTATAGAAAATGATCATGCAAAAGCAAAGTAGAATCTATTTTTTATAATTAAAGGAAAGTAAATATGACGAAGAGAACAATGATTTAATTGGTATTAAATGGTTATGAATTGACTCATAAATAAGAATATTATAAGTAAAATATGCATAATAACACACTAAATCATATATTCAAAATAAAATATGTAATAAAATAATATGCAGGTTACAGTACAAAACCCAATCCAATGGTTGTAATTTGGGAAGGGAAGATCTAATGGTCCATATCATAAAGGGGTAAGAAGGGAAATAATGAATTTAGGGGAGCTTTTCGCAGTTGTGGATGCCTGTCTTCTTGCTATCTAAAACGGTAATTGTTGGAGTGGAAAAGATTTGCAGTGACTTCCTCTTGGGTATCGGAGTGGGAGGTAAGATAAGGGCCAATTTGACATGGAATCAAGTGATTTTCCCTATAACTTAAGTAGGTTAGGCATTTGGGAAATTTATTCATGCAATATTGCTGGCCGCTTTGGATCGGGTGGTTACTAAAATACAAGGGACTGCGACTTCATTGTGTTGGAAATGGCTACTGAAACTTTGTCTAAAGGTCTAGCAGTTCATCACTATGGTGGATGGCCAGGTTTGTTGGAACGGTGAAGTTATGTCAAAATATTATGTCAAGAACACACTCTGGCCGACACATCCTCGACCCACATTGGTGAATCTTGTATGGAAAGGGCATGGTATTCCTCGAAATAGATTTCTCTTATGGTTGTTTGTCAAGGAAATAATTCACACGCTGGCACAGATAGCTTCGTGGGGTATTCTGGCCCTCTGTACTGTGTTCTTTGTGATAAGGAGATGGACACCATATATCACATATCTGCTGTATGTGATGTGTATGGTGGGCTTTTTTTGCAGCTGTTGCGAAAGAATTTTGTATACTCTTTTTACAGTTCATGGAAGCTAGAGATTTGCTGGGCAGACGAGAATTTCAAGCCTCCTTCTCCACTCAATGATCAATGCATTGAAACTGGTGTGGTATTCGTTACTTAGTCACTTGTGGCGTGAACGGTGTAGGCGCATTTATGCAGGGGAGAAGTTAGATGTTGAAATGTTGGTTAAGGTGACAAAGAATGAGCATTGCCACTAATTTTTAGTAATTAGCCTAGTTAGCTAGAATTTGGGGTTATTATATACACTACTGGAAAAGTCAGATTTTGCAACACCTGAAATGTGTTGCAGGATATGTCGAAAGTGTTACATAAGCGATATGCAACACTTTTAGTAGTGTCCTCTATAGGTAGTGTTGTCTAAGGAAATATGTAACAGTTTTTCTACGTTTTGCAACAAAATATTTTGTGTTGCATATGCATACCTTATATGCAACACTCTTTTAGGCAACAACTTGAAAATATTATACAACACATTTTAGTAAGTATAAGCAACATGTATATCCTTTATTCGTGATAACTTTTGTTGTCACATAAGACGTATGCAATTGTGATGAATTTATAACAAGTACTATACATTTGTGACGAGTGCGTGTCGATAACAAATTTATTTCAACTGTCACTAGATTCATTTGTCACAGAAGTTGACAAATCTGTGACGGTACTCTTCTCACAATGTCATGTTTTTGCGACAAATTCATCATGATTCTTATATTGTTTGTGACAATAAGGTTGTCATCTCTATTAATTGGCGACAAAAGCTACACTCATAAGGACCCCAACTGTGGCAAAAGAATTGATCACAAATGTAATTCTTTTGTGACTAGAGTACTATCAAATATAACTAGTATTAGCTAACAATAACAAGGATACTAATGTATAACAAACGTGGCAGCTACATATGTCGTAAATGGAATCAGTCTATGAATATACATTGATGCAGAAAAAAGAGAGAATTATCCTCAACTTCATTCTCATAAATACTAAATAGCTTTAAGAAATCAAAATAAACTTCTTCGACCAATCGACAGAACAATATATTCTCATTTCTTCTTCATGCTTTTACTATTTGGCGTGCTATATATTCTCATTGAATTTTCTTTTCCCTCCTGTTAACTTGGCATACTTGTTGTTGTAACTCTTCGTTGATGTTGTGCACGATATAATTGATCGTGAGACTTCCAGACTCCAAATATTGGATCACTCTGAAATTTGAATGAGTAATTAAATTTAAAGATTGAGAATCCTTCCCGTGCTAGTTTAAGATCGCAGCCCAGAAGCTATAGATCGCGACCACGATCTTCGAGGCTCAGGACACGAACTTCACGAGGAATGACCCTTGGAGAAACAGAGAGTCTCCACAGTCAAGTCACGGCCAACGTTCATCTTGCCTGCGAGGAAAATCGCAGCCACGACTAGTGGATCGCGACCGCAAAGTTAGCCCTCGATCTTCCACTTCCCAAAGGCCTCGACGACTACGTTTTGAGATCACGACCCAGAGACTAAAGATCCCACCTGCGATCTCCTTACCTCAGGCCGCGAACTTTCTCAAGTCCAAAATGCTTATAAATACAAAACCCCTTTCCCCTTTTGAAGAGAGCTAACTTTGAGAAAAAATTTAGAGAGAGAGAGAGAGAGAGAGAGAGAGAGAGAAGTGAGAGGAGCTGAAGGAAGGAGAAGAAGGATGAGCTAGGAGCAAGGAGGCATCTTCTTCAATCCCAAGTCTTCTTCTATTTCTACCATGTATCTTCTTCCCTCCTTTATAGGGTAGTCCTCTAAGGTACTAGGGGTTCTAAACCCCAAATCCTAGTTTTAGGGTTTGCTATGCGTATATGGATATTTTAGGGATATTGTATAGTTTACTAGATCGAGGTGAATGGAACATGGGTTTAGGGGAGGCATACTCGAAAGTGTGTGGATAACCACGAAAGCCCACAAAAAAGAGCTCACTCACCATATTCGATATCATAAGTATCTAGATATGCATAGTAATAACCTAACCCTAAGCTAGGGGGAAGATAGTTCCCCGAAGACCCGTTTTTAGCTTTGATCAATCTTTAGACTAGTGTTTCCTCATATCCTCCACTCAAAACCTCAAAAACCGATTAACTAATTAGCAACTAGGTGATAAGTAGGCTAGGGTACCAGGACACCAGTAGAATACGACCTTGATTGCCACAATACGGGAATGGCGTTCTAGGTTAAACTTGTCCTAGGATGGGATAGTTGTTGATACGTGCTAACCTCTCACAATAACCTGCACAGATTCAAGTGATCAAAACCTAAACTAACATATTAAGGACATGGCCAAGCTTCAACATGAGTAAAAGATGTGGGTAACATATGTTAAATTCTACCTAGAGCAAGCCTCTAAGAAACGATGAGGAACTAGTGAATTGAGTTCAGTTATTGTATCAAAGCTAGCTAGTGCAAAGTATCGATAAAGGAATTATGGAAGTAAGGAATTAAGGAGGACACTACAAGTTTATAACGAAAATTATAATAAAAAGGTGGTAGTCGACAAGACGACGAATTCAACAAGAAAGATAATTAGGAAGGGGCAACAAAAAAATACGGAAGACGACAAGGAGGCGTTAAGGTGACTACTAGAGGAGAACAATTGGACCATAGTAAGTCCATCAAAAATTTAGAAGCTAATCGGTCAACTTTAAGGTAAAATTAAGCTCATCTCGATATGTCGATGATGAAAATCTTATGGGTCAAAATATTTAAGCTTTTCCCATAGTAATATATCGTCCATATTGTATAGCTTTCTAATTGGCAAGGGTTGTTGTCAACAATCCTTATTTTATGATATAACATAAACCGACTCAACAAAAAATTTACAATGACACTTTTTGTATGAAAAATACATTTTAGGTACCAAATTGTAAAGTATAAAAATATTGGTACTAAAATGTAATTTGTGAACGATCCGTGAATCTATCAATCCCATTGGATTTGAATCAAATGATGTAGATGGACTGTATCGGTAGATTATATTATAAATTGCCAGCTCTAGGTAACCTACAAGTCCATTGCCTTTGATGTCGTGGATAGGCAAATAGTGAAAGTGTAGAAAATAAAAGGGTTAATATCTTATTTTGGTCCGAACTGTGACCATATAATCAACTTTGGCCTGTGGTTTCAGAAATTAACATCCTGGCCTCAACTATGCAGTATATAGTCTCAATTGGGCCGACACATGGTTTGACCGTCAATTTGTTGACCGTTAGTCAAAGCGTCAAGTCAGCCTAAAATTCATTAAAAAATTCAAATTATTTTTCTAATTTCTATTATTTATCATTTTCAAATTAACCAAAAAATAAAATTTAAAAAATTTAAAATAATTTGATAATTTTTGGTTAATTTATAAAATTTATTATTTTCAAATTACCCAAAAAATTGAAAAAAAATGATTATAATTTATATTTTTGTTAATTTGATAATGATAAATAATTTGAATTTGAATTTTTTTAATGATCTTTAGGCTTACGAGGCAATGACATGGCGTGTTGATTAACGGTGAACGGTGTTGACCGTCCAAATTGACGGTCAAACCATGTGTCGCGCCAATTAAGTATATATGTTGTATAATTGAGGTCATGATATTAATTTCTGAAACCATGAGTCAAAATTGATTATATGGTTATAGTTGATGCCAAAATAAGGTATTAACCCATAATAAAAGATGAAGTGGGCCAGCATATGCATACCGCTAGCCACTTTCTTTTCATTACATAAAAGTACCACTTATTTACGTACGTGTTATCAACCATACACACATACATGAATCACCTGTGGCGAACTCACAACTAACGTTACAAAACACAAAACACAAAAGATCCATAGACCAGTGGAGACACAATAAAGGGTCACCACAGTACGTAGGTACTAGAGAAGATGATACTCTCTAGCAGCTGTCTCCCCGACCCCGACTCGTACCACATTTTATCATTGATAATAACTATACTAGCGCAGAACCTAATATGCGCCACTTCCCAACTGATTTCCTTCCTTTACATGTATGCTTCACTTGACGCTGCCAAAAGCAAACAAGAGAAAATATTAGCCATGAGGACATAAATTATCACAACTAGATCGTATGGAAGGTTGGAAAGCTGATAACAAAAAAAAAATAATAATAATAACGTACGATTTGCAGTTAGTGCTGGTGCTGAACTTGTAGGGAATGTTGACACCACAGGCAGCGGGGAGGCCAGCGGCGTTCTTGGGGTCGAAGCTGACTGAGCCGGCGGCGGATTTCAAGCACTCGCAAGCTGCTTGGCGGTCAGGTGTGGTCTGGGCGGCACCGTTGAGGCTCTTCACCCCGTTGCAGCATGCCGGCGGGACGGTCCCACCTTTGGTCAGGTAACCCAGGCATGGGGCCAGGCTGCTCGTCACCTGACCGCATGTTATGGCATCCACCGACGCCATGTATGGGGCTGCCACCAAGGCGCACACCAGAACCATCGACACCATCTTCGCTGCTGCACCCGCCATTTTTCACAACACAAAAGACTATATATATAGTAGGACTAAGAGAAGTGTAAAAGAAAGGTTTTGTTGTTTTAGAAAGCTGCTCAATAGAAGACTGCTGGGTGAGTGAATGTTGAAGCTCCCGGAGGAGGGTTTATATAGGAAAAGCAGAGGATGGGTTTCGGTCGTGGGCCGGCCGGTTAGTTGGTTGATCGGTGGTTGGCCCGGGATTTAATGCGTTTGCCACTCCCCGGCAATCACAATATCAAACGGGGACGGCGATTTGCCTACCTACAAGCTGGCTCTCTCTTATTGGTTCGATGAATTACTCTTTGACGTATAACCATTTCCTTGCTTTTTCATGGACAAGGGAAATAATGACACGTATGTACTATGGTCTCGCTGCCATTTATTTGATTGTTCCCACCTCTTTTTTCTGCCTTAACAATTAACATTGAAACTGTAGGAATATTTATCATTTTAACACCGTACCGAACGTTCAATAATTTAATGAAATCTATGCAATCTGAAATGTTTAGTGATAAGAAGCCGTCTACAAGATTGATCGCAAAATTTCTTATACACATGAATTAAACTGAACAGTAGTTTTTCGACAGTTGCATGGAATTAGTATAAATAACATCCATTACAAATTCACAGTATGGAATGTAAATACCAATCTATCTCCATTTACATATAAGAAAGAAAAGGAAGCATATATCTGATGACGCTACTAAATAATTACGGACAGTTTTGTGTTATTTGGCCTGGTGATTATTTTGAGGACACTAACTTGGACGCGTCTGCCGACTGCACCATATTAATTGCCTGGATCAGGACAGTAGTACTGATTCACTAGCGTAGTCGAGTAGGTGGTCCAGTGAATCTGTACTACATCAATTCACCAAAATGGAAGGAGAAGCTTTATAACGCTGATCATTAGGTAATTGGTAGAATCTTAACTTATATTATGGCCGTTGTGGAGCAAGTTTTTGCCACGTAGGACAACGAAAGCTCCACAATTTTCCATGTTATTTTGTCAGTTTTAATATTTTAAGTTATTAGTTACATTAAAATAAAATTAAATAAACATGCATATCAATCATCATCACCAAGATTTGAACCTATGACATATGAGGTCAAACTATTATCATTTCAAATGTTCAACCACCAATATAAAGTATATTTGATGCTATTAACCACAACAAAACATGTATATCAATCATCATAACTATGATTTAATCATGCAACCTAGAAGCTCAAACTATAATCATTTCAATTTTTTAACCAATAGAATAAAATATCTTTCATGCAATTAATCACAACTATTTTTTAACCAATAGAATGGCTATAATGGATACAATTGTGTATTCTATTTTTTAGCATTGATAAGAAAATCATTAACATCTACAAATAAATTATTTTTAGTTTATAATATGTTTCATAATTGTTTATAATTTCTTAAACATAATTAAAAAAATCCAAAAAATATAAATTTAGTTGGTACTTGGTACACAATTATAAACTTTTACATAATTTTACATGTGGTTTTCTTTTAAAATTTAAATATGAAAAGTAAAGTATAATCTTCTTCCGCCTTCTAGAACACGAAGAATTTAACATTTTGTTTGTACGAACTACTATAAATATGTGAACAAATGTAGTTATGTTGCAATTTGTTATAAAATACTTACTATAAATATCTGAAATATATCAACATAGTTCATTCATATGCTACAGTGATATATACACAAAATTTCATGTGTTTAAGAATATCACTAGACACCAATGGTCATCAAATTTTTTTGTATATTTTTCAAAACCTAATTATGGTCATATGGTTTAAATATGTTTGTGACCAATTGGTGAAAGAAGTTATAAAAAAAGTCATGTACATATACATAGTGCATTTGTCATTTTTAGGATTGAATTTGGCATGTCTTGCATATTAAAATGATATCATTATCTTTTCGTTTATGTTATTTTAACTTCTTTCTCTTTTCATTTTTCATACGGCATTAAATATTCTTCCATGCACAATTATAAAACATATTGTCTTTACTTTTTTCCTAATGTAATTATAATTCCTTTCTGTTTGAACCTAACTGAGTGTAGGAGTGAGGTTCGGGTGAGAGTTTGGGTCAAGAAGGAACGCAAGGGTCAGGTGTAATCGGAGGAATAAGAATTAGAGAGTCGAGTGAGAATGAGAGTCAGAACTTTAGAAAGAGAAGTAGTTGCTATAGAGAGAGAATGGTGAAAAATGCGATCCCCTCACCCACCGTAGTAAATGCCATATTTATAGGCTTCATGGTGGTGGGTGAGTGGTTGACATAAGAGGGGATACAATGATGTGACTACTGAGATACAATGATGTGACCAATGATGTGACCACTAGCATACTAAGGACTTTAGGCCATCTCTCTACCTAGGATGAGTCAGAGATCCACCCATGACCCTGATGTGACTACTCGCTAGGGAGGGGTGCGCTTCTCTCCTCTTCTGATTTGGCCTACGCTTGTCCTCTCCTAGCGCATGTAGTTGCGCTTGTCCTCTCCTAGCGCATGTAGTTGCGCTTAAGCTCTTCGCGCCAAGACGTGGTTAGCCACGGTGAGGCGGCACACTCGGGGTCCTCGCGCCGCCGTGTCGGGGTCTATTTAGTTGCGCCCGGTTCCTTGGCGTGATCAGGCCCGAGTCCTATCCCCAACAATTGCCCCCCATCAGGGGGTGTTTTGTGAACGCCCCCTGTTTAGGTTTCTTCCTGACAGACTCGGGCCGGTGTGCTCTTCGAGGGGCGGGTCTTTTGGGCCTATTCCGCTTGTAGACGTGCGCGATACTGTGGACCGGTGTCACCTTGCACTGATGTCATGCGCCGTCGCGCTCGTTGTTGGGCTTCGTTTGTTCGTTCCGCGCGATACTTGGCGCGCGCTGATGCGCGTACGGGGTCGTTTTCTTCGCGCGCGTTACACTGGCGGCTCGCGCCGTCGCGCTCGTTGTTGAGCTTTGTTCGCTGAGCGTGATACTCGCGCGCGATACTCGGCGATGCGCGCATGGGGTTGTTTTCCTTTTGCAGCGCAATGCGTGTTTTTCTTTTCCTCGCGGGTATGTCATGCCCCCCAGGCGATGCGCGGCACTGGTGGCGTCGCCGACTAATGCCTATGATCGTAGGTGTCCACGTGTCACTGTGTGGTTAGGCTACTTGGGCGGGGATTTTTTGAATTTCGAAAAGATTTGGTGGGATCTGACGGTTACGGATCCCAATGTGACTTTAACCTTTCGCCTTCCGTTGGCCGACTTTGGCCCTTCGCTTTTCCCCTGATCGACTATAAGTATGAAATTGTTGCAGAGAGGAGGGCTCACTTGCTTTCCCCGATTATAGCCTCACTTTCCTTTCCCTGAGATTTCCCTCTTCCTTCACTTTTCTTTCTCTGAGATTTCTCTTCTCCTTCTACAACCTTAATCCTCTTTTGCTGTTGTTCAATTTCGAGTCGATATCATGTCCAACATCAACAATCAGGAGGCCGAGGTCGTACAAGGCGAAGAAGGTAATTTCTCTCCTCCCTCGCATACTTCTTCTGACCATTCCGGTGGTGGGAACGGAGGTTCTGGGGATTGGAATGGCGGATCTGACGGCGGGGATGGCAGCAGTGATGGTGGGATTCCGGCGACGCCGACGTTCGATGCTAGGTCGGGCGATGGGGCCGGAAGTTCTTCTGATGCGGGTATACTCGCTTCCGGGAGTGGGGGGGCGATGCGGCCAGCTCGGAGGACTCTGATCATTCGGCGTAATCAGGGTGATAGACTGGTCGTCGGCGATGAAGCGGGCGACGAGGAAGTCGCCGACGATGAAGTCGCCGACGGTGAAGTCGGCGACGATGAAGTCGCCGACGATGAAGACTTCGCCGATGAGATGGCGCAAGGGGACTTTGGTGTGCAATTCGCACCGCGCGCCGTCGAGCGCGTTACCGAAGCCATGGCCCGCTTGGGGCCGCAAGGTGTTGGCGCTACGTACCGCGTGATCGAGTGGGCCGAGATGTGGGGTGACCAACCAGCGCCGTCTGACAATCTCAAGCGCGGACCCGAGCACTCCTCGACGTATGACGTGGATGACGTGGAGGAGTTGGTTCGCGGACTGGGCTTGCCCCCCAATTGGGAGTACGCCGCTCCGTCGTGCGCAGCATGGTGGGGAACTGCCCCCCTGGGTGGTTCGGTGTGTACGCGGAATACTGGGTGATGGGGTTCAAGTTCCCCATCGACCCGCTGCTGTGTGCCATATATGACCGTCTCAAGTGCTCCGTCGGTCGGCTCTCCCCGTCAGTCATCATGCACGCGAGTTGCCTCCGCCTCGCGTGCAAAAGGCTTAACATCGTGCCCACTTACGGGCTATTTAGGAAGATGTATAAAATCAAAGAGCCCTTAAGGCGGAGCGACTGCCTTTCCATCCAGCGTCGCGACAACCGCCCCGATGGTTTTGTGTATGGCTCGCCCAAGTTGAAGAAGACTTGGTTCGACAATTTTTTCTACGTTAAACCCACTCCCGGGGAATGGGCGAGCGGGTTACTGGCGGAGCCCACCTCCTGGATGAAGGGCAGCATAGCCGGGTTCGAGTCGCACGTCGGTCATTACGCCGAGCTCAACGATGAGTATGAGGCTTGCATGCCTCATCGCATGAATTTATACAAGCGGGGTGTCCGCGAAGCTTGCTTGGAAGAGCTATTTGGAGATGGTTAGTTATATTTCCTTTCCTTTGTATTCTATCTTATTAACCGCTCTCTTACGATTTATTGGCGCAGGTGTTGACTTTTCCACCCTCGCGAGTATGATGTCGGTGGACGATGTCGTGCCGCGTGCCGACAAGAAGAAGAAGAAGAAGGTTGGCGCGGCGCCAAAGGCTTCTAAGCGGAAGGAGGTCGAGCAGCCGCAACCGCAGGCTGTCGAGAGGCCCCGCAAGACCATTCGTATAGCGGAGCCAACTGTTCAAGTGACGAAGCCGCCTCCCGCGGCGCCGCAGTTTTCAGCCGCGCAGCAGCTATCATTGGCGCTTTCGGAGCCCGAGACGACAGTGAGTCGTCCCGCGCGTCGAGGAGGGGATGGGGCTGGCAGCTCATCCGGGACGTCCGCTACTGCTCCCACCGCCAGCGCTGTTCCTGCCACCGCCGCCGTCCACCAAGTCCGCGACGTGCGGATTCACACCGCGGCGGCGTGTAACCTGGTATCCGCCAACCATGCGCTCCGGGCGATCGGGCCCGTTCTCTCCGTTCCTCCGCGGGTGGA